CCGTTTGGGGCTGCATGCATTGTCCAGGCGGGAGAGATATTTGCTGCTCCTGCTGTAGAGGGATAAACCTTATAAGAGAGGGAACTGACACGCAGTGACAAAGCCCCTTGCTGCTGTCACCCCTTCAGCAGAGGCGGTGGTGGTGGGGTTGTTGTTATTCTTCTTTTTATTGGCTCTGCATCCAACGTATTTCTTAATGCTACGAACATCATCACTCATGTTTAATACACCCAAACCCTAAACCCTAAACCCTAAACCCTAATTCGTAAACCCTCAGATGCACCCATAGGATGCCATCCATAGTAAACAAGCCAGGAGAGGCAGCCCATTCAGAACCTGGTTGCTGCTTTTGCTGCAGCAGCAGCAGCAGCAGCAAAGTATATAAAGGTATTCTCTCGTGTATCTTATTTAGAATACGCAGAAGATGAAATAAATTAATAAATATAAAAAAACTTTTTAAGTTTAAACGGATATTTCAGGAGTGATAGCAGCGGTAAATATTCTGCATTTGTTGCAATTCAAATCGATGCAGNTTAAACGGATATTTCAGGAGTGATAGCAGCGGTAAATATTCTGCATTTGTTGCAATTCAAATCGATGCAGAGGCGGCTGGCGACGCACTGACGGGAAAAATAAAAAATATATTTTATTATAATTTTTCATAAAAATAAATAAAATAATTATATTATTCCATTTATGCGATAGATGAGGCGGAAAGGAAACGAAGAAGAAGACGATTCACGTTTTCTTTTCTGTATATTCAAGTTATGGCCATGGCGGGCTGACGAGAAGAAACAAAAGAGAAAAATAAAAAAAAAGGTATTCATGATTCAATATATTCAGATCATATGTAATCATATTTTTAATTTCGGTGATCTTTTTCTTTTCTTTTTTTTTTTTGGTTGCAACGCCTGGCGGGTAGAATATATTGAATTGCGGGCAACTGCGAAGAAAAAACGAGGAAAGCGGCGATATTTTTAGGAATATTTGTTTTATTTATTTTTATTTTGTTAATTTATTTCTTTGGAGAAGTTTTTCTCTTTTTAAATCCACGGAAACCTCGTTTTGTTGCAGCTTTCTCTCGGTGCGGTGTGTAGGCAGCCCAGTGGTTCTGCACGTGG